CTCTGCTGACCCTTATCTCTTTAAGTCTGAACAAAAATCAGTTCTCCCGCAGTAGGGCGTTTCGCGCCTACCGGGTTTTTGCATTTCCACGCGACAAACCAGATTGGTTAAAAGTGAAAAGTGGGTTCAGCAAACCTTTACGCGCCTTGCGCAGGGGACTCCCAGTCCGAAGGTGACAGGTACAAAAAGGCGGTTGTTCAAACGCTGCTCGGCAGCTCGAAGCTCTTCCTCCTCTTTCTCGGTATAGCTGAGATGCATTGGCGCAGGCCTGCTGGACGAGCTACTAGAGTGTGCATTTCAACAAAGTCGTACCGACCTAAAGTTGAGTTCGGCATTCAATGCCACATTTACCGCTACTCAAAAAAGACGGATGCACACGGAAGACATCCATTCTGGCCACACCATTGTGGAGGCCGATAAAGAAAGACACAGCGACCCCATGGGGGAGAGGATCGGCTGACATCCCGGCACAGACATTTCTCAAGTCTTGGACTAAGTCCATTTTCTTGCTTAATTGGCAGCAAGGAAACGCAATCGCACGCGATATACCAGATTAGGCGGCGAGAACACTCGCAAAAGTTGACGCTTTAGCCCATTCCAGGAAGGAAACACTGCACGTTAGTGCCCATTCTCGTGCTCGGCCTCCAAGATTGGAAATAGCTAGCGCCACGCCCCTGTTGCTCGTTCTGAAGCATGGCGGATACCATAGCCATCTCAGCCTCTCTCACCCAGAGCAGGAGATTCTTTCCATCCTTACCCTCGAAGGTCTTAACGCTCACCATGAGCGGCCTGGGTCTAGATGAGTCATCTGTCAGTAACGGTTGCATCATGGACGCAATCGATGACGACATCTTCTTCTCTAGGTGCTGAAGCAGAGAATTTGTATGGCTCAAAAACGCTTCTAGTAGCGCGCTTATCGTTTCTGGTCCTGACGAAGGAGTTTTTGCGCAACACTCAAGGCCAAGCAAAGTCATCAGCTTAATAAGGCCGTCATGCCTGCCCTGGGGCAGATAGGAGATTTGCTTCATCCTCACAGAGGATCAGTCGTAACGACCCAGGCGTAGATTGACCAATAAGTGCTACCAAGTGCAGCGGGGCTGCCGTAGCTCTTTGCTTAGAGGAAGATTACTAAGGTCACGGACCTTACGCTCTACATCAGAACGAGTACAAGTGTAGCAAATAGCACTCCGCTATCTCAAGGAGTACCCAAAACCTTAACCAAGGTATATAAACTCTTCTGTTCAAATTTGAAACTGCATTTAATTGTTTTAATTGCGGCAGAGCCTCCTATATCGAAAACCTTAGGTTTTCCTGATTCAATAGTAAAGCCTAAGTAATATGCATAACTACTGACAGTCCTGCCACGTAGTGGCTTCTTGTCACGATGTAGCCACACCATTGTGTGATTACACCGACTCGTGTAATCCACACCTTTGTACGTTCACATGACCCACCATTTCCTACCAGGGTTTTTGTGACTTCGTTACAGGGACGGAAAGGGCATGAGCCGGGAGCAGAGCTAGACTAATGGTCCGGACAAGGACAGTTAAAAGGTATGTGACGGTGGGATGGTGCCTGGTGAAGGCAGAGCGACGCACCCACACCCGACCAGCACAACCGTCGCAGAAGACGCTACTTCATCATTGTTATCAAAATCGATCATGTGGTGCAGTGGAATGCTGTTCACTTCAGAACTGGGAGGTCTAAGGTTCTTCAATCCTCGGGTCGGGAAGAGCGGGGTCAGAGTGTAATGAATGAAACCCTACAACACGCGCTTGACATGGCTTACACGACTCCCAAAAAGACGTGAAGTTCTAATAATACTCATCACTGTTTTCAAGGACGCGCCCAGCTAGCCACCTTGAAAACGTGATTGACAGCGGCGAAAACACGTATAGCGACAAAATCGGTTCCAAGCTTCCCATTTGATCACTGGCACGCAAAAGAGTGAGTGAATGAGTGAAGATACGCAGAAACGAGTGGATGGAGATACGAAATGAGTGAGTGAACATTCACACGGAAGATGTTGGGTATCAAAAATGTGCAAGGCAACTTACTTATTGTTGGGCAAGATTTTCAAAAATTTCCAATCAGAATATGGTTTTAAGTATTGGGCTTTACTCAACTAGTTTCGACATGAAATCTGGCTCAGTGGTTCGGAGTGGCAGCTCTAATCTGTTGTATGAGGGTTCAATTTCCACAACGATTGAAGTTACGAAGCGGTTCCTTAATGATTGGGATTCACCCGGCTCCCAACCAGGACTTACACCTCCAAACCACTCTTTCGATTTTTTGATCTTTGATCACAAGATTTTATAGATGTATCCAAACCTTCTTTTATTAGGTTATTTTTAAGACTTCATGCTGTATACAGTAGAACCTGTCTAAATTAAACCTCTTTAATTTAAAACCCTCTTTAAATTGGACAAAATATATGGACCCATATTGGGCACCATACAGTAGAACCTGTCTAAACTAAACCTGTTTAATTTAAAACCCTCTCTATAATAAACACTGTCCCCCCAGTCCCAACATGTTTAATTTAAACAGGTTTTACTGTAGTGTATATTATTAGCTAGGTATAATTAAGAATATAATATAGACGAAAATTTCAACTGTAATGTCCGGCTCATGTGCAAAAACGTACGTACGGATGTGTTATACACTACGCCTGCAAGTCACCGACGATCCTTCACATTTCTATCTATCCCAACATTCACGCAGTCAGGATAAACTTCTCTTCTCTTCTCTTCCCTTCTCTTCTCTTGACTTTACGTAGCACTACCGGAAAACGCTGTTTCACTTAATTTGTTGATTTTACTTAAGAATTCGATTGTGTGGTGGAAAATATTGAACTAAATTGGTGGCCCGATACGCTACCTGCGCAAAGTGCTGCAAATGTCAGATAGGAAGGAAGGACCTGGTGGTTTGAAGGTAA